ACCTCCTTTGATGTAGAACATTTCCCCTAAACTAGCTCCTGAAGTAGAATATTGAGTCTGGGGCTCCTCCTTCCCCTCTTGCTGCCTCTAGATGGTAGATGTGCACCTCGCAGCCCATGAGTTCTCACACCTGCCTTCTTTCCTATGGCACCTTTAACCGTACTGGGCATAGAGGGGCCAGGAGGAAAGAAGAGCTTGTAGTTAAGTGGCAATGAAGTGTTCCAAGGAAGCCTCTTTCTGCCCCCCTCCCCCAATCAGAGGTGCACTTCCACCATGCCCTCCTCACTACTATCACCACTTCCTCAAAAAACAAAGGAAAGTCTCTGGCCAAAAGCTTCATTCACACTAAGTTAAGGTTGACTGGTCGTGCCTTACATGCTTCCGGAATGTTGGTTTTAACCACAGTTAAACATCTGAAAACCAGGAAGTACAAAGTGTGACAAAGTTCCTCCTCTGCCTTGGTGGGTCCTGCGCTTATTGGCAGATTTGCTTCCCTCAGTAATTCACGGCAGCCTTCAGTTTGGCCAATTTTGCTAGTGGCTCAAACCTGCCGTTCACTCAGCTAACCTCATCACTGGCCAGCATGGGGAAAAGGAAGGAGAACAATCCCCGCAGTTTCTGTGGGGGCAGACCTTCCCCTCTGGTGGGACCCACAGTCCACGTCAACTCCTCCTGTATCCAATAGGGAGTTGGGGGGATGGGGGGAACCCGGGCCCACCCTCTACTCTGGGTTCTAGCCCAGGGCCCTGTGGACTACAGCTGTCTAGAGCACCTCCTGGAACAGCTGTGCAACAGCTACAATTCCCTGGGCTACTTCTCCATGGCCTCCTCCCAACACCTTCTTTATCCTCACCACAGGATCTTCCTTCTGGTGTCTGATAATGCTTGTACTCCTTAGTCCTCCAGCAGTATGCCTTCTCAATCTCAGCTCCTAGTGTCTCTTGCTCCCAGCTCCTCGCACGCATGCCACAAAATGAAGTATGGTCCCTTTTAAACTCAGGTGCCCTGATTAGCCAGCCTGCCCTAATTGATTCTAGCAAGTTCCTTCTTGTTCTGGAACTGCCCCTGTTACCTTACCCAGGGAAAATGGACCTGCTTAATCTGGGACTAATATATCTGCTTTCTAACACTCTCCTGTAGCCTTCTGGCCTGATTCTGTCACAAAAGTTATGGACAAACAAATTTAAACTTCTTAAAAACAAGGAAATACAGAGTTGCAATGCACATCAGCCCAAGTCTGCAACTTTAGCAACCCTTTGACAGATATCATAGCACTGTATTTGTCTAGAGGCTATGGAGTACTGTGGGGACACACCACATGGGTACAGTATGAGAAACTGGCATATCATGTCCTCACTATGACAAAAATGCTATTTAGGACAGGCTTAGTGAATAACAGCTAGCTACATTTGGCCTATACTCAACCACTTCACCTACTCTGAACAACCAACCCAGATTGTCAACCAACTTGACCCTTCTCTTAAAGATTTCCCCCGAACCTCACCCGCACTTACCTTTGCCTTGCAGTGCATATATGCTACCAGATAGTTACAGATCCCCACAGCAAGAATAGACTATGGTGCTCCCCTCCCTGCCCAACTGATATAACTCTATGCAGAAACGAGGGTCCATGATCTTTGTCATTGCAGCGTGATCTGTGTCAATCTACTGCAAGTAAACCCTGCACCAATCAAGACATCTGTTCCTAACACAGTGAAGGGCAGTTGGAGAGCATGTGGCTGAGGTGTACCTTAACTCTCTAGTTCCAGGTTTACATATAGATGCAGTCAATATTTTGGAAGTATATTAGGCATTGCTGGTCAATTTTAAATCTACATTAACAATGTTCTTGGGCAATAAATTGATCACTTAATTAAGGGGAGCTTAAATTACTTGCCAAAACTCATAGAGACCAACAGTGAGACCCTGAAAAGCTCTCCAAGAGCCTTCCCTTCCAGGCCCTTGCTCTAACTGCTAGAAAAAAATCCTTTTGTTCATATCCAAGAGCTCACTGCCTCTTCAGTATTCCCCAAAACACCTCATTATGCTGGACTCTCAGTTTTGGTGGCTAAATACCACCTAACTTTTCTCTTGGAGAAAATACTTTTTTTTCCTGGAGCCTTCCTTTTGGCTTGTGTACCTGGACAAAGCAATGATTATTTTCTTTGTACAAATTATTTTTCTTGCTCAGCTCCACCCTAGGGTTCCTGGCCATATCATGGAGTACTGAGACCAGTATTCATTTAGCTCTGGGGTATTTGGTAGCCGCATACCAACTAAATGCGAGATCCTCCTTCACATCCAGTGACAAAGGTACCAGTGATCATCTTTCAAGAAGATTTAAAAAAAAAAATCTTGCCTTCTTTCCCATGGTAGTCCCAGAATTCTCAGGCTCTTTGCACATACTTTTTTTCTCTTTTGCTCGTTCTTGACTGACAGCATCTTGTTTTTTTCCTCAGTAATATTGCTGCAATTATGCAAATTGCAACTGCTGTTGCTCTTCTGTTCCTGTTTTATTTTCCAGTCTGGGTTTCCATTGTTTTTATCTTCACCCAGAACTGAACAAACAGGGCCTGCCCCAGTAGAGTTTACCATAGACTTCGCTGAGAAAAGTATTTGTGTTTAGCTTTACTACCATTTGCTACATGCTCTCCAATTTTCTACTGAAGTCATGCCCAATGTTTTATACCTTTGCATCATGCAGTCAGGCTGTTTGTGAACTCATTCCTAGCTACATACTATCTTATATTCAAAAGTGACATCCCTGCTACAGCTGAGGACAGTGCAGGGGCCTGTGGGGCTTATTTGCTGCTTTTGCTAAAGGCCCAGTCCTGGGAAGTGCTGAAATCAATGGGAAATGGAAGGGACTTAGTACATCTCAGGAGGCTTTTTAGCGTCTCGGGGATCAGGCCCCAATACCTATGTCCTGTACCCATGATTTTGCCTAGGAAGAATCTCTCTTGGTATTATTAGGTAGTTTGCTGTGGTTATTCACAATATGATACACAGAATTCTTAAACCTGGCAAATGAGAGTACAGCAAAACCTGCGCTTCTGACTATTTGCTATCTGTAGTCGCCTGTGTTGATGGCTGGCTGGTATCTGTGTTTGAAAGGTTTCCTAGTGCCTTCATTTAAGTTCATAATGCAGTAGGCAGCCACTTGCTTAAAGCATTTCCAGTCATTTGTAGATTTGTTCACTTTTCATATTCAAAGATTTTAAAGCCAGCAGTGACCATTATCATCATCTAGTTTGACCTCCTGCATGATCTGGGTTGTAATTCCTGCACATAATCCAAAAATAGTTATGTTAATTGCCCCACAGTCACCCTTCTTAGTGAGCCAGAATAGATAATATTAGCAACTTCAAGAGCAGGGATTATTTTAATGTGAAGGATGTTAATTAAAGTTGCTTTAATTTCTGTCCTGGAAGTGGGAAAGGCATTGGTAAGTGCATAAGTGAAAGGTGACTATTTTGTCATACTTTATTAAGTGTCCTGTTACAATGGCCAAAAATTCTGGATTTCCTTTTAATGCCATTTAACAGGTTTCATTACAAGTACCTTTGCATAGTAGTTCATCATATCCAATATGATGTACAGGGAGTGTTTACAAAGTCTTATTGAAATCAATGTGATTGTTTAAGTATCTCAGAGTACAGTAGAATGTATTTAATAGCCAAAGGCATCATAAAAAGCAGTAATGTTACATGCACATTGCTGCAACTGAAACCTTGACTGTTTACAAGATCAACTCGTTGGGATATAGCCAGACTGATTCATCCAGAGGTGACTAAAATGACATAAAGGTGTTTCATACATACAGTACTTTGTGATAATATTTTGATAGCCTTTTCTGACTATTCAAATCTCATTCTCTCTGTCTCTGTGTGTGTGTCGCTTTCAGAAATCTGATTGCCAAGAAAATCATTAGATAGGGTTGTTGTTGTTTTAACCTCAAGTGGAATGTCCTCTTATTTTTCATTTTATTGTTCTAACTTTTAGTTATTTTGAGTTCCCTGATTCACGCAATAATGTAAGGAGGCATCAGGTTTCTTTAGCATCACTCCAAACTTAGCACCCGGTACTGATCATCTGTGCTGTGTAACTTCTTCACCTCTATGGCAGCAACAAAGAATTAGCCCAAGAAACCACAGACACAGAGGGAGACAACTCGTGGTTTTAAAAGGCAAGATATGGAGCAACGATAAAATCCCCCCTTTTGATCGTAAAATAGTCCCGCTTATTCTGGGCTATCAACAGGAGTTCTTAGCGAATAGTGTCAGGTCAGTTCCCCAAACCAAAGGGACAGGCTGAGTGACAGGAAAATGCCCGCTCTAGCCTGAGTGTTGACAGCTGAACGCAAAGCCGGAGTACATGGGGGGAGGGGGAGAATTCCTCGGCGGCTCCTCTGCGATGATGCCCGCTCCTGCTGCTGGGGTTACCCCCGCCCTGAGGCTCGCGGCAGGAGCTGGGCACTACAGATCCAATCCAAGGGCTGGGGCTCTCTGTGCTGCAGCTGGGGTGGGGCTAGGAGTCTGTCAAGACTTTCATTTGGAGAGTCGGCTGCCCTGAGCCCAGCCTGCGAGGGCACGTTCACACCCCGACTGGCGTGTGTGAGGGGTTTGCCATCGACCTCTCCGCGGGTCTCTCGGGCGTCCAGGGGCTTGCCCAGGGCCCCGGCTGACACCCGGCACTCGGCGGAGAACGTGGGGCGAGCGCCCGGCGCTGGGACACTCGCTGCTGGGAGGCGCGGCTCCCGCCAAGAACGCGTGAGCCGCTGCCCCGCGGGAGATGCCCCGGGCCCAGCCCGCCTTGCGACGTTGTTAGTCACCCGATTGTAAAGCACAACAACGCCCTCGCCTTTGTGCGGCGGGGCGCGCTGTATATTTACTGTCCTCGCCCGCTACTTCCTTGTTCCCCCAGGGAGCCAGGTGCTGTGAACCAGCCTGCGGACACCGCACCTGGCCCCGCGGATGTCAGAGGAAGAGGAGGAGATGCGGCTGCTGCCTGCCCATTCCCCGTGCCAACACCCCCCATAGGCAACCCCGAGCTGCCACCCCGCCGCGCTGCTTGGCCCCTGGGTGCCTGGCTTGGGGGCAGCCGCAGCTCCGCTGGCTCTGATGGTGTGTGATGCCCTCGGTGCCAGCCAGATGCCAGGCGCCTGCGTGACTCCCCAAGGGAACTGCACCTATTTCCCGTTCTTCTCGGACTTCAAGGGCCAGAACAGGGTGGCCCTGAGCGCCCTGGAGACCGCCGTCCTCTCCTGCATCTTCCTGGGGTCCCTGCTGGTCAACGTCTGCGCCATCTCGGCGCTGGCCAGGAAGAAGAAGCTGCTCACCGCCAACTGCCTGGTGCTCAACCTCTTCTGCGTGGACCTGCTCTTCATCAGCGCCATCCCCCTCATCCTCGTGGTGCGCTGGACCGAGTCCTGGGTGCTGGGGGACGTCGTCTGCCACATGCTCTTATACGTGATAAGCCTCAGCGGCAGCGTCACCATCCTGTCCCTGGCGGCGGTGAGCCTGGAGCGCATGGTCTGCATCGTCCGGCTGCGGCACACGGCCCGCTGCAGCGGCAAGCTGCTGGCCGGGACCCTGCTGCTCATCTGGGGGCTCGCCGCCCTCGCCAACCTCCCGCTCTGCCTCTTCTTCCAGGTGGAGCCCCTGCCCATGAACGGCGAGGTAAGGAGCGGCTCCCTCCGGCGAGCTCTGCCCGGCGCCAGCCTGGGGAGATGGGGGCCCCCCAGGTCCGTACAGTGCCCAGTGATCCAGCCCACTGAAGCGGCTGGCTCGTGACCCAGGGACCCCAGCGGGTTGGGAAGGGGAGACTGGTTTGGGAGTCTCCAGCCTTGGCTCCCCCCGACCAGCCTGACCCCAGCCTCGCCTCCCCCAAAGAGTGTCAACGCGGCCAAAGCCTTCAGCCAACCGACGCCTCAGCAGCATCTGTTCAGACTGGCTGGACCAAGCGTCCCAGGTGCTCAACAGCGCTGCAAAGCAGCGGCGCCAAGCTGGTCCGTGCGCCGGGAGCCGGTGTAGCTTGAGCCGGGAGCCCGTGTAGCTTGCTGCCAGAAGGGCAGCTAGGATCGATTCGGGTCCAGCGGTGTGTGACTTGTTATTCCAGCGGGTGTTGCAGGGCAGAGACCTGGGGTGATCAACTAGAGCCATTACCTGGAGAGTTATACCGAGCTCCGGAATTGGGGTTAGGCGTTAAGCGATTCATGCCCCATGAAGTGTTATAAGGGGGTAATATTTCAACAAAGCCTTCAAAGGTTGGCAACGCCTTCTTGCCTTCTCCTTTTTAGCCCTGCAGGGATGCTGGAACAATTTGTATAGTGGGGGTACTGAGGGGCATGGAACCAAACTGTAAACCCTGTATATGACGGAAACCACTTCAAGCCAGGAGGTGCGGCAGCACCCCCAGCACCCCTAGTTCCAGCACCTATGCGGTCCGATATTGATGTTGGGCATTACCCCTGTTTATTAGGTTGCATTTAGCCATTGAGGTGTGAAATCAGAGTCGGAATGAACTTCTTTTAATGAAGGACTTGATCCTGATCCACTGAAGTCAATAAATAGCAAAAGTCCCTTTCACTTCAGCACAGCAGAATCAGGCTGTAATTGAGGTCTTCAGTAGATCAGTCCCACATTCACACTCATATGGATTTTTTTCTCTGTAGAACTGTATCACCAGTTACTTTGTTCAGCGGTGCTTTTGTCCTTGCACAGCATCCTGTATAAACATGGGGCTTTGTACTCCAGAGTAGAGCTAGGAAAACCCCTTTTCCGCATACTTCTCTTTTCAGAATGATCAGCTGCCTGTGCCCATGGATTAATTCATTAATTCATACAAGAGCTTTAATGGCATACAAGAGCTTTTCCTGAATAATGCACAAACATCTTTTTCTTTTCATTGTACAATAATCCCACATGCGTGCAAAAACAAAACAATATGCTTACAGAATATAATAATGATTTAATCAATCCTTCCAGGGTTTTAATTTTTTTTTCATTTGTTTATTTAGAAGTTATGAGTTTACATTTTAAAATTGTCACTAGCATTTGCTATGCTTTATAATTATTGCAGCAATTCCATATCTGCATACCAAATCTTGTGAACTACACACCTGTCATCATGTTTTGAAAAACATTCCACATTGAAACAACTATTTTGTTTTCATTAGTAACGATTCCCATAGATCCTGTTTATGTAGTGGCCAGTTACATTAATGTCAGATGAAGTGTAAACATTGACATAAGTTTGCAGAGAACTTTATACTGAAAGTAAATATCTAAAACATAATATTAATAATTTTCTTTTATTCTTTGTAAACAGGAAGTTCAAATTTGCACCTTGGTTTGGCCCAGTGTTGCAGGAGAAATCTCTTGGGACATAACATTCACCTTTGTGGTCTTTGTAATACCAGGATTAGTCATTGTGATCAGTTATACAAAGATTTTACAGGTATTTTTTTCTTATAGTTTTATTATAAAACGACATCTGGCTGGCTAGTAATGTAGTACAATAATGCTAAACAGTATCGATTGTATTTGCGCAAGTTTAACAGTTTGAACTGGGAGAGTTTTGTTGCCATTATAAATGACAGCAAAGCTTGAACAGTGTGTTACCAGAAACCCAAGATCCAGTCAGTCTTAATTCATGTACACTTTGGGGCACCTTATTTAATATCGTGTATTGATCATAATTAAGGGCCTATGTCAACTTGCTAGAGATACTAACAAACATCTCAAACAACTGAAAAATCACTGTTTATCAGATCCTCCATTGCTTGTACCCCCAAAACTCAAAACGGATTCAATGGGAGCTGTACGACAGCAAGGAAGAGCAGCCCTGGGTCATAAAGTCCTTAAAACTGTTTTCTCCCCACTCCCTTTGAATCTACCCTTTTCCTACTTTAATTATGTGTCATAATTAGGGCTTCTGATTTTAGATTTTAATTGATAAACACCAACACCTCCGATACAAAAAACGAAATCAGTGTTTTCCAATAAACAGCACAAATGGTTACTTGTGGGATGTGATTTCTCAAGTGCAGTAACGTTTTGTGCATTTATTGGGCCATGTAGACACTGCTGGTGCACACTGGAGGTTCACTGTCTAGAGTGCTTTAGTGTAGTGCTGTTTGAAACAGTATTACATGGTAGCCCATTAGAGGATATTACAAAGCGAGTACTCATTAGAGTGTATACAAAGAGAAAGCCCCAAACCCTTGATTTTTGGACATCTACATAAAACTAAAAAATTGCTAACCCCCCAAAATCAAATTAATAAGTGCCCTACAAACAGAAGCCATAGTTATGATGTGTAGTTACTCTCTCCCAATCTCCAGGATGTTTAATAAATGTCAGCAAACATAAGCAGTAGACAAAAAAATAAAAAAGGCAGGCAGGAAAAGTGACATTTTTGTTCTACTTTTTCTCTCTGGGAGGGAGGTGTTTTCTAGTGGCTTAAACATGGATCTGGGAGCCAGGAACAGTTGAGGTTTAACCTGTATTCTGACACTAACTCCCTCTGTGACTTTTGGCAAGTCACCTAGGGCCCTGATCCTGCATGGTGCTGCAACCTCTCAACTGCCATTAACCCCAGCACCTTGTAGGATTGGGCTGCTAGGGCCAGATTGTGACTCTAGTCACAGGCCATGCTGGGGACACCCTTATGGGTGCAGAGTGCAAAGAGAGCACAGCTGCTATGACACCCTTGGAAAGCATGGGCCACACCCTGCCCTGCTTCACAATTCCTACTGCTGCATGTCAAAAGCTTCACTCTTCTCCAAGGCTCACCAAACTGTCTCTCCCTTACCTACTCAGGATTCCTTTTCTCTTACCAGTCTGAGGGTTTCCTCATAGGCTCTTTTCATCACAGCCCCCCCTGGGCAGCCTCCTCAGTTTCATTGGTCGAGTGGCCCTGCTCCAGGCCTGCCCTTGTCCCTGGACTTTCTTTCTTCTAAAGAAAGGTTTCTCCTTATATTTCCTGGCACTCCTTCGCGGGCTGCCTTGCAGCAGCCTATAATTTCCAGGGTCCCTCTGGGGAATACAAATGACAGAATTTCCTTGTTCAGTGCTTAATTGAGACCAGGTCATGCTGGACTCATAGCCTCCCTGAAAGGGTTAGTGCGCACCCAGGATCCACAGGTATGAAAACAGGTTTTTTTCTAGAGTTCAGCCAGAGAGAAGAGGAGTCCACAAATTAACCCCAGTCCTGGGTGGACTGACTGGGTTACAGGCCAGCATGCTATTCTACAGCAGACAAACCTCCTCTCCAGCACAGATCCAACCCCTTCCAAATTCCCAACTCACCCTCCTTCTTGAGCTGCTCCCCCAATGCACACAGACACCTACCATCCTTGTCCTTCCATTCATCAGTGATTGGAGCTCTAGAAAAAAAGCTGATTTCATACCTGTGGATCTTTGAATGTAAGGTCTACCTAAATGCTGACTTGGGTGTGGTATGTGGTGCTAATGTATTTCCTTCAAACTGTCTCCGTTTAGGGTCCTTAAGTGCCCTACTTCCCATTCTGTTGCCAGATAGAGGCCTCATCTCAGTACTGTGCAATGGATCATGGGGCATGACATGGTAGCACACCAAGTAGCATAATTTTAAAAAGGAGGCAACTATTGGCAGTAGATGGGAGAGAAAGCGCTGTTTGGAAGTGGCAAGTATCTGTCCCTGCCAGAGTGCAATTTTAATTGACCAGACAGACCTGAATGCAGCCAAGCACCACAAAGCAATCCATCCCAACCCCAACCACAAGCCAAACTGATTAGATAGGGAAACATCATCATCATCACCATGTGAGTTCCCAACTCTAATGCCAGGAAGCAGCAATCTGTCTCCCCAGCCAATGAAGGCCATGCAGGACAATTACTTTTCAGCCCTAGGACTGTAGTAACATATACAGACACTGGAGCTGGCTGAGGGGGAAAGAGGCAGATTAAGGACAGGGAGTAGTAGAGCAAAGAAGGCTGGGCACTCATTTCTATGCATTCTCCTTCCACCACTTACAAGCATGAAAGAGGTTCCTTGGCTTTGACTTTCCACATGGAAATGATTTCCCCCCTGAACCCAAGTCAGTGAAGTGCTGAGAGCCTCCTGAGAGATGCTGAACCCTCTCAGTGCCCCCTGAAATTAACAGGAGCTGAGGGAGCTCGGCATCTATCAAGGCCTCTTGGAAATTCAGCCGACCAAAGCCTCAGTATCTCTGCAACAGCAACAGAGTCCACAGCCTGCCATAGGCTGAAGTTCAGAAAGTCATAGGTACATTGTGCTAAACTTTGCCCCATGTTAATAACATGGATCTGTTTGTTGGTGGCCAAGACCTGGGTTATAACTCCCTGTGTGATTTTGGACAAGTCTGTTAACCCCTTTGTGCCTTAGCTTTTCCAACATTAAAGTAGGGACAATACTTTACCGCCCTTGTAATGTGTTTTGAGATCCTGTGATGAAATGATGTGAGTGCAAAAAGATTGATTCTCCCCTGCCTGAGGGCTGCTTTGCAATGCTTCACCAGCACCACTAAACCCAGGGTGGGCAGAGCGTCTTATGCTCCTTCACCACCACCCATTCCTGTGGCCAGTGCAGGGCGCATCACCAGCAGCTCTCTCTTGCACAAGGATATTGGACCTTGACAAAGCAGCACCACAACTGAGGGAGTGCTAAGGTGACTAAAATTGCAATGAGCATTCCTTGGTCAGAGCTAATGATAAGGAACCAAAGTACTTACTCATAATTAGATGCTGGAGAGGTGGGCAGTGTTATTGGTAATATTTAACATATTTAAATACCAAATATTGCATCTAGTGAACAGTAACCTTCACTATTCAGGTCCCACTTTAACTGAATTTCAGTAAACTAAACCAAAGTTTCACAAGTCACAATCATTACCATGCTTCTGTAACCCATCTTTGCTGCTAGTGGGAGCTGTGCATGAGGAAGGAGGATTTTGCCCCTTAAAGGGGAGATTTTTCGAACTCTTCAGCATTATTTTCATACTGGTTTCAGGATTAGAAAACGATGGTAAGACAGTATGTAAAACAGCTTTCTTCCACAGTAAAAACAACACAGTAATATGATTACAGCATGTAGAGAGGAAAACAAGGTGAAACTTTTTTATAATATTCAAACAATAAACAAATTACACTTCAGTAGGATTAAGGGTTTGTATTCTCAAGGTGACAAACACTTATTTTCAGTGCACTGGGACAAGTATTCATGGCTCTGCTCAACATAGCTTTTTTCACTTTCTTCAAAAGCATATTTGAGGGTTAGGAAATAACAGAGAGAGGCACCAGCAGCAACAGGGCTGAGTTACAGAGCTAGGAATTGGGGGAAGGGGTTGTAGGAACTCCTTGCCCCAATTTGTAGGTGTGAGTTTCATCTTCCCAACCACTCCACATTTTACCTATATACAGCCCACATACTCAGACTTAATGCTGATTTCACCTGATGTGAAATAAGGTCACTAGCTTGTTAAACATATGCAGTGTCTAAAAATGTCAAAACTCTTGGCTAAATTCTGCAATCCTTAACTAAGCAAATCTCTCAGTGAATTCAGTGAGAGTTTTCTCCAACAAGCACTGCAGAATTCAGATTTTTGGTCCTTTTAATCAGTGTTAATGAAACTGGAGAGGTGCTTTAAGGCAAGCCAAGTTAACCTGTGACTAGAATGGTCAGCAATTCTGGAATGTGAACTGTTACCATGAGCAGCCTGACATATAAGGGATAAAGAAGGATAAGGATAAGCCTAAAAAGTTTTGGGTTGTAAATTACCTCAGAGCTTTTTGAACAGGTCCTAAACATTTCTTAAACATATGCTTTTGTATAATTAATAAATTAGTGTTTATCTATATGTATTTCACAGCATATATCCTCAAAGATCTTGGGTATGCTGTTTAGCTTTAGCTTTCTCTCGTCTGAATCTGGACTGCCACCCCGCCCCTGCCCTTTTCTCTCCCCTCCTGACAGTGCACTCTTTTCCTTCCTGTATCTCTTTGCTTCTGCAACTCCCTTTTTTATCTCACCTTGCTTTTCGGACTCCATCGCTTTCGCTTTCCATCTGCTTCAAGTGAATTGGCATCCAATCTCTTCCCCTAGCCTAGAACAGACACTGTTTACATGGAATTTGAACCTTTAAAAGTTGGTTCATTCTAGAAATAGGGGCTATTTTTCTCCCTTTAAGACAGCAGTAACTTCTGTTGAGCACAACGGGAGTTGCTGATGTCCTATAGCAGGACAAGCAGGCTCCAAGAGTAGGTTCAGTTTCCAAGAATGTCTTTGCCCATCCATCCTATGAAGAAAAATAGGCAAATGGGTCCAAGGGCTGCTGACATGAATGCAACTTCACTGTTAGTGAAAGCATACCATGTAAACCTCATGAAAGCAAACAACGTCTGCCACCCAAAGAAACACATGCCACCCATGATTAGCTGAACCGATTGGCGAGCTGGGCTAGACAAGAAACATTTTAAATAGCAGCCTAGCCTTTGAAATAACCTGCGTAAATCATTCCATTGCTGATCAGTAGCTGATTATCTCTTCAGTGCTGGATCCATCAACCTTGGGTGTGTGCACAGCCGTGATTTAGAGCAATGATAAGGAAAACACAAGTAATGTCAACTAGCTCTTACTTGTCCTTTCACTATTATTGATACTAATAGATTTTTATTTGTACATCACTGGTACACAGAAGTTTCCTGGGAACTTTTTAATCAAACAAATGCAGGTTAAGGGACTAAAAGCATCAGGTAAACACTATGTTTTAAATAAATACAGATCCACAAATAAAACTCATGTTCCATGGTAAAGACCTTTTGAAATAAAAAGTCTTGAAACCTGCTTTAAAGGGCTAATTCTGTTACTGTCTTCAGGTCAAATGGAAGGAGATAGCCCTATCCTCATGGACAAAGACCTGAATGGTGCCTCTCCTGTTCCTGCAAGCTCCAGGCTAGAACAGAGCACTTCAGAAAGCGCTAGGGTAAATAGGAAGCCAGAGGCTCAAAAAGGTATCAGGGACCTAGGCCTGATGATGGGCCTTAAAAGTTAAAATCAAAATCAACGTCTGCAGCAATTGGTAAGAACCAGGGCTTAACGTGTGCCAGGGTTTGCCACGGATGAGCCCCAGCACCTCTAGGCTTGGCAATTCATAGCCCCGGCACCTCTGGGCTTGCTGTGTCAGTTATGAAAGTAAACAAAAAAAATTGCTTGAACCCTGGCACCTAATTGCTTGAGCCCCAGCACCTCTTTCATTACAAATTATTCACTGATAAGAACATAATGGCCATATTGGGTCAGACAAATGGTCCATCTAGCTCAGTATCCTGCCTCTGACAGTGGCCAGTGCCAGATGCTTCAGAGGGCATGACCAGAACAGGACAATTTCAAGTGATCCATCCCCTGTTATCCAGTCCCAGCTTCTGGCAGTCAGAGGCTTAGGGACACCCAGAGCATGGGGTTGCATCCCTGACCATCTTGTCTAATAGCCATTGATGGTCTTTATCCTCCATGAACTTATCTAACACTTTTTTGAACTAGTTATGCTTTTGGCCTTCACACCATTCCTGGGCAACAAGTTCCACAGGTTGACTATGCATTGTGTGAAGTACTGCTTTATGTTAGTTTTAAAACCGCTGCCTATTAATTTCACTGGGTGAATTCCTAGTCCTTTTGTTATGTCGAGAGGTAAAAAACACTTCCCCCATTCACTTTCTCCAGACCATTTATAATTTTATAGCCCTCTATCATTCCCCCCTCCCCCTTAGTCAAGTTCCCCCAGGCACCATTTTCCTTAAGGGTGGCCCTGCTGGAACCAATATTGCTACAACAACACTTCAAACAAGGTTGACAGATAGTTTGCAGGGCTGACATTATCCTCAAAAAATCAACTGAATTTTACACAGAGAATAATTGATAACGGGAAAAGCTTGTCCTGAGCTGAATGTTTATCTCCTCTTTCACTCTAACCTGAGCAAGGCAAGTATGAGTATTAATCTTGTTCTTACTGGGGGAAATGTTCAAAGGCACAAAAGGCCATTAGGTTCCTTACTCCCACTGATTTTCAAAGCCTCCTAGTTAGGCACCTAACTGTGATTTGTGCCTTTGAAAATCTGTCCCCATGTCAACATCTTAGGGACAGGAAAACTGAGACACAGAGAAGTGAAGTGACACCTAAAACCACATACCAAACCAGTGGCAGTGCTCCTCCTCCCAATCTCACCTTCAATCCACTAGTTCATGCAGCTTTTTCAATAAAAATAATGTGTATGTAGAGAGTAATTAAGCTAGAGAAGAAATATTAATGAAGTATTACACTGAATGAGTCAAATTGCAACTTCTGGAATAAAAATAAATAGGCCAAATCAGCATAGCTTCATTGACTTCACTGGAGCTGATTTACACCAGCTGAGGATCTGGCCTAATGGGAGAAAGTATTTAGCTGAAGTGTTTGTCTGCTGAATTTTGGAGATTGGGTGTTAGTTTTATTGGCTCTACAATTAAAAACTTAAAATGTGTCCATTATTTAAATTTTGCTGTGCTGACTTCCCCGAGAATGGATTTTCCACAAGCACTAAGTGCTCACAATTACAGTGGAAGGCAATAGGAACTGCGGATTCTTAGCACCCTGGAACATTAGACCCCATAGCCCAGCTCCTGAAATATGCTTAAGTGCCTTGCTCCTACTAAAACCAGTTGAATTGTTTATTGAAATCAATCTGGATTAGGGCCTATGTGCCTCAATCTTGCTTATTACGCTTTTACAGAAAAAGTAAAGACTTTCATAAAGACTACAGGATGCACAAGGTGTCAGGAAAAAAGTACAAGGTGTAGACAAAGTAATTCTGATCAGTGGTTGCTAAAACAAGATGTCAAAGACAACACACTGAATTTTAAATATGTTCTCACTCAAGTTTAAAACCTATTACCTAATGGAAGAAGTATACATCTGGGAGGTTTGAGCGACAAAAGGAAATTTGGGAGCGGGGAGGAGAAATATTCTGCTTTTGAAAGACATCTCTGCTTTAACCAATGTACCATACCACTGAAAACCCATACACAGAGACAAGTCTGAGCCAATCCCTGGACCCAGGCACTCTCAGACTTTGGAGGTGGCAAAATCTGAACCCAGTTCCAAATTCTGCAAATGGTCCATCCTTACAATGGGCAGAACCAACATTCTGGACTCAAACACCTACATACTCTTTTCAGGTGTCAAAATCCAGATCTACATTTTGAGTCTTGAGCCCATCTCTAACTAACTATCTGTAATAGAATGTTAGTGCAGCTCTCCTCTGAAAATGACTGCAAAAACGGCACCTGCTTACTCAACAGTTCAGCTTCATTTGTGTACCAGTCATATTTGCTGACTTTAGTGACTAAATTAAGTTGTTACTAATTTTTACTCCTATTTACCTTTCAGAGCAAAAATGTCTATAAAAGAGTGAGCTGGATTCTCTTCTTTGTGCATCAACAGGATTGTTAGCTATACTCCAGTCACAGTCAATTACACCTGTGTAAAAATTAACAGATTTACATAGATGAAATAACCTAGATTATCATTTGAAGGCAATGGGATTGCAGGGGTAATTAAAGGCCTAATTTGACTTTAAAAGTCTTTATTACTTTCAAATGCAAAATGGATTATGAGCATGAGACGGAAAGAACCCAGCTTGACTACCCGACATGCTGAGTTCAGGGCTGGCAGTTAGAAAAAAAACAAAACTATTTTTCGACTAGTTAACTGAGTCCATTGGGAATGTACTCATTGAGAGGCAATAAACACAGAACTCTTGCCCTTTTTATCGTCACTTCCAAAGCAGAAACATGATTTGCCAAGATTCACTTCTGCAGCTTTAAAAAAAGTGTTACTCAGCAAGAATTCTATGTTACAATAAAAGTTATCTTGTTTTTGAATGCAGATTACAAAAGCATCAAGAAAAAGATTAAATGTCAGTTTAGCCTCCTCAGAAATGCGTCAGATTCGAGTCTCCCAACGAGATTACAAACTATTTCGAACTTTGTTTGTGCTGATGATCTCTTTCTTCATCATGTGGAGTCCAATTATCATCACTGTTCTCTTAATTTTAGTTCAGAACTTCAAACAGGATTTGAAAATTTTGCCATCATTTTTCTTCTGGATAATGGCATTCACTTTTGCCAACTCTGCCGTCAATCCAGTTTTGTATAATGTTACCCATTTCAAACATGAATGGTGGCAATTTCTTTTGTGTTGTGCAGCTCTTCCTGGAAGGAGAATGACTAATACAGAAACCACAGGAAGAAGAAATGACCACATAGAACCTAACTTATCTGTAATTTCTAAATAAGTAATGTATGAACTATGTCTCAGCTGTTGCTTTGGCTGCTAAGCCATATACTTTCCCACATTGACCAGCTCACCATTTTATAGTACTTGTATTATATGCTAAGGAAAACAGATAGGAAAATAAATACAACTATAGTTCAACTTCTATAATCCTAACCTAGACAAAATGTCATTGTCTTGGGAGTTTTGCCTGAGTAAAACTGCAGAATTTAATCTTATCGGCCTAATGCTCTTCTCATAATGATGTAATCAGGAGTAATGTCACTGACATTGGTGGAGGCACAGAAATGTAAAACAGTGTAACTTCAGAGAAGAATTGGGCTCTATGGGGGCAGATTTTCAGACGGTGTAAATTGTCGACTTACTACAGTGGAGCCAGGACAACTTACAGCAGCTGAGGATATTCTCCAGTTTTACTATCCATTTGCCAGTAAGAATAGAAACCAACTTTTAAAAATGGGTGTAAAAAGTGCACCCTCAAAAATGTCCATGCAGTCACTAAGTCTATAAAATAAAAAAAAGGCATTTGCATGCATAAATCAGGTGACTGGCTGCCTGAACATACTTTTGTGCAACCTACCTTTATGCATAAAATGCCAATCTGAGTAGGCATATATGGTTTTTGCTGGTTCAATGAGCGCATGATCATTTTTGCTGGTATGTCCTACATTTGAAAATTTGGTCCTTAGAACTAGTCAATCTCTGGTGCCATTTTGCTGGATTCAACAATGTTACAGTAGATAGAAATGTTTATTTTTCTTAAGGTTGTAATTACCCTGTTTTTACATATGGTGCATTTTTACACATCTTCAGTCAAGTATGAATGTAATAAAATAAAGCTATTCTGTGATGTGATCAATGAACTTCCTTTTGTATTGAAATACTATTTAGCTTTCCAGAGAGTCCAATAAAGAAGCCACAATAAGTCAAGAGGACTTAGGCATTTTAAAATTAGATATTAGGGATTTTTTAAAAAATTTGCCTGCAAGGTGACTAGACAAAGTCAAAAACCAATAACAAAAAAATGAAAGATTACATACCTAAGTGCCACCATCTGGATTCCTATTTTAAGCGTTGCAGTAAAATAGTATTTTTGCCAACAAAACAATAATCTTTTTATATTTATACAATATGCATTCCCTGTTATCCATGTTTATTAAAAGTTTCATTGGTTTATTGACAGGGTGAGCTTCAGAGCTCAGATAAATATATTTGAAGTTTGAATGAAGCTGCTTTAAAGATCTACAATAAAACAGTCAATTTGTAAACTTTACATCCATATTGATGTTACATCATTTGCTTCCATAGTTTCAAAACTCCTTAGAGCAGAATCCTGAAACAAACAAAATAAAATTAATGATATTTCTAAACCAGCACTAGAAAGAAAAAATATACAAACATGTACCAAATTTAAAGTGTGTGTAAATGTATTTCCTTTAAAGTAGTCTTACTTACAAATATCAGTCTATTATTTGCAATGTTATTCTGCTCTTTAGATCTGTAGCACATAATTCCAAAGGGTTTTCAACTCAACATAGGACAGGAATTAATCAGATCTGTTCCATTTGTTCCAGACATTAATGCTGAGGCAAAGAAGGAGCTAGCACAGATCAACCACAAGAACCATTTCAAAATATATTGACTTAAGTAAGATTTACCGTACTTTTAATTTAAGATTTAAGATCACAAAAAATGGCAGGAATAGACTATCCTAATGCACATACATTTATTTTCTTGTGGATTTTTGCTTTTAGTATATGCTGATACAAGGCCAGATTGCAATGCCCTGGTTACAATGAAGTAATAGCTTGTTCTGCAAGCAGTCCCGTGGTCAATATAAATATTTGTTATGGTTTTATTGTCATTGGGAATACTCACAGAGGGCAAAACTGTGATACCCTTACCCACATTAGGAAATACCTTAGTCCACAAGCAGGTAATTGACCTCAAGGTAGTAGCCCAACCTGACCCACAATCAGTAGGAGATACAGCTTCAGAAATGCAAGATAAGTGGCAAACAAAACAAAACAAAACAAAAACAAACAAAAACCAAACTAACAAACTAAAAAAAACCCAGCCTTTTCTCTTCTTTTGCTTGAAAATAAAGATAGTTTACCAAGAACTGCTATTTAGATATAACTATATTTATATCAAGCCAAGACCTGTGTAATTAGTAATTTATTTATTGTGAACTTCAGCACAGTATTAGTTTAAAAAGGCAATGAAGAATCTTTGGAAAAAGGATTTAACTTGAAGATATGGGTCCAGAATCAAAATTGAAAGAGTCTGGATCACTTAATGATGACCTGTTCTGTCCATTCCCTCTGGGGCAGCTGGCATTGGCCACTGTTAGACGACAGGACACTGGGCTAGCTGGACCTTTGGCCTGACCCAGTATGGCCATTTTTATGTTCTTACGTTTCCTTCAGTGGGAATTTTACCTCAGTAAGGCCTGCATAACAACTGAGTAAGGACATGAGGATTTTGGCACTCTTGCGAATAATTCTGTAGTTCTTGCTCGCAAAACTATGAGATGCAGGGAGGCCTCTGTTCACACAGAAGTTGCATTAACATGGACTTTGTATGAAGAATTTCCTAATGCAGATGTTTTGATCTTTTTTGTTCTTTTAGCTCTTGTACAAGTATCCACAGTCACTGTCCATTGCTCCAATGTATGTCTGTTTGGTGTGCAAGAAACTGGCTCAACAATACTAGGGAGTTCAGAATTAATTAACACTCTGGTAAATGATCCGGAGCTTTGTCTGAATTGTGATTGGCACGCCTGACTAGCGGAGGAGGTGTACAGTTGGCTTTAGGTCGCCATGACACTCGATGCTGGGGTCATCTAACCACCACTCTGGTCCCCAGCATAAAATAGAGCAGCCTCAGAAGATCCAAAACATCAATTCTCACTCACAAAAAGCATGGAAGCCAAACCAGCCCTTCAACCACTACCCACCATCTGAAAGAGCAGACAAAGGGAAAAACATGCAATACAGTGGGGCAGAGTTAAGGTTTGTGTGAAAAGTGGGGGGGTCTTCAGCTTTTACAGGGAGTGGGCAGTTAGTACTGGGGCAGAGTTAAGGTTGGTGCTAGACTATTAGAAGACAATTTCCTAACTTTTGTATTCAAATTTTATCATTTAATGTTCTATTAATTATATTTTTAGTATGGAGGGTGTATCTGCAATTTTAACGGTGCTTTAAAAACAATATTAAAGACAATTGCAAATATTTTGTGGAAAACAAGTCCTCTTTTATGTGGAGAGTCTCCTGAGATGTTTGTAGATGTTTTGTCACAAGCTCTGAATATTTATGAATATTTATACATTTCCTTTACAACTTGTAACTTGCAAACATTCACGATTGATTTACTCATGTGCAAACATTTCGTATACTTTCATGTACATTTAATAGAAACACAGGATGGCTATAGTGGATCAGATCAGTGATCCACCTAGCCCACTATCCTGTCTCTCACAGTGGCCAGCAACAATTGGTTCAGAGGAACGTGCAAGAAGCAACTTTTGCACACCTCTTTCCAAACTGGAGCTGGAGCACAAAGACTGGACCCCATTTTACATTCTTTCTTCATACATAAGTCTCTCCATGCCTCTAATCATTTTAATTTCCCATCTTTAGGCCCCTCGATTTCTGTTATATTTTATTTGAGGTAGGGCGAACAGAACCAAACACTGTATTCACAGTGAGAAAATATATACAATGGCATTATATTATTTCCTGTATTTTTTCTGACCTATTCTTTAGGCATCCAAACATTTTATGTGCTTTTTTGATTCCTGCTGTAGACTGAGCACATGTTTTCACTGAGCTGTCCACAGTGACACCCAGATCTTTTCCCTGAGTGGTTACAGTTAATTCAGAACTCAACCATATGCATGAGTAGTTAAAATTATTCATGCAGATATTTATTGCCTTGTATCTATCATATGTGAATTTAATTTGCAGTTGTGCTGCCCAGTCTAACCTAAATAATTTTGTGTGGTTTGCACATTTTCATTATAGACAAGATTTATTTTAATTCTGTTCACCCACCTTTTCCAGATCACTAATAAATATATTTAGTATCACCTGTTCTAGTAGGTCTTTGTGGTGTCCCACTGTCAACATATTGCAGGCTGAAAATTAACTATTTATATTAATCTTTGTTCGTCTATTCATAGATTAGATTAATAGATTCATAAATTGTAAAGCCAGCAGGGACCACTCTGACCATCTAGTCTGATCTTCTGTAAGACAGGCCATAGGACTTCCCTGAATTAATTCCTGTTTGAACTAGAACATATCTTTTAAACAGCTAGCACAAGTACATCTTGTATTAATCTAGGTGTTTTGCAACTCTCTTCAGTGTTTGTTTCCTGGGATGGGCTACCCAGGAAATCGTGGAGCAGTAAAAGTGAAAATCTGAGTATATCTGAGACTCTAAGACTCAGAGACTCTGAGTTTGCAATAAGAAAATAAGATATACCACAGCTACTAAGTGCAGCCCTTCCTACTATCGCTGTCCATTAGAGAAAGAGCTTCCTAGCATGGTAGTCATTTCACCTCCCAAATAAAATTTTTCTGAAAAAAATATTCTTACCATTATGGACAATAACTCTGTATTTTCTGTCCAAGCAGAGGTCGACCTGCCTTTTCCTGACAATTTTCTGTGCCTCAGGTGGCAATCCCTTTGGGTCCCGGGAGAACACAAAGGAGTAACTATCAGCACAGGTACCATCATCATTTAGTTGGCGGCAGGAGTAATGAAGTGCATAAGTGTCATAATCTGTGTCCACTACCCAGTGATCATCATCTGAAAGAAACCATAGGGAAGGAGCAAGGAAGTTATAGAGGTAGGAGGAGACATTCACCTAGAGAGAATTCTGCATTTACTCAACCACAGAAGAATACCACATACTTTAGTATTAATGATGGCAAACGGTCCACAATGGGCCTGATCCTGACAGGTGCTTGGCACCCACAATACTTACTGAAATATTGGAAAGTTCCATGCTTCTGGCACCACAAAGGCTCAGTCCCAAGATGTTAGCATCACCACAACATGTGGGATGCATTTAGTCAATTAGATTAAATAAATCAACAGGAGCCAACTGGTCTGAGAAATATGAATTCACCTTTGGCCTCTTTTTGGCAGAAAGCTCTCACTCAGGGAGAAGTGTCATCTTGAAATCATATGCCCCTCTAAAAATCATTCCTGGCTGCTTGACATTCAGTTAACCTGGAAAGAACCTGCCACCTACCTTAGGACGTGTGTCCCTCAGGATAGTTCCCAACTGCCATACAGTTTGGGAGTCCACCCTTTAAAAGGTGGGGGGGTAGTCTCAGCCAGCAGACTACTACCAAAACTGGAATTGTGTTGTCTCTGTCACCTCCACAGCCCAGCAGTCATAGCCATACTGTGAGTGAGTACCTGTGGAACCTGCCTTTATAGTGGATATTGGATTGTATTAATTTTTAAATACATATTATACCTAAAGATAGGTCTGAGCTGCAAACCTTAGACCTGGATGCAAACTTTCCCAATATACAGGAGCATTTGGAGCTAGGGTCTTGGTTCAAGCTTATTTATAACCAAAATAAGGTGGGATGAATATTTCCGGACATTACTTCTCTCACAGAGAAGCAATATGGGTTTTAAAAGCATACAGTTTTAGTATTAGATTGCAATACTGAATGCATTTTATGGTACCAAGCTAAAAATCTTAGACAGCACCCATATAGTTCTGCCTGTTTGCTTCATTTGTGTGATTTGAATTTAAATCATGGAAAACTTTTGCCCTTACAACCAGACTTCTTTTGCTTATATTTCAGTGACATTACAATCCTTTCACAAGCAGTGTTACAGTGTGGAAGGTGCACAAACTGGAAAAATTATTTTGTATTATTTTAAATAATCTGTGCCAATGTAAAGTAAAAGCCCACGAAGTCAGGAGGGTTGCACCAACTTTAATTTTAAACTAACTTGGTAGAAGTTTGGATTTATTTTAGGTGGGAATAACGGCACCGTGGTCATTTTTAATGTAAATGCTGAAGAACATGCATTGCAGCTCTTATCGGGCAGAATAAATCCATGACCTTTTGGACCATGCAAGCCTCAGAAAACTGCAAGTGCTGATTATTTGGTGAGGCTGATTGCTCTGGGGCAAAGGTCAGTCCCATTTGGAAGGTCAACAAGAAAAAAATAAAACCTCTTCTGAGGGAGCTGTGGAGCAGGCAGTGGGAGGACAATAAAGGAAAACTCCCATACTGCACAACTCGCCATCCGGATCCATCCATCACCTACACAGCCCACAAGTGTTTCTTCACACAAGGAGACAGATGGGCTCTGGGGCCAGTCCAAGGAACAGAGTTATTTTCCAAAGCAATCTCAGAGGATGTCTCCTGTATTCCCCTCTCAGCCCTATCACCAAAGAAATCATACCCACCACATCACCGTTATGATGAGGGTTTTTCCCAGAGTCTGAGTCCTTTCCCTTTCCCTGCTTCTCTGTTTTTTGCCTCAGCATTAGGGATAATGTCAGAACAGCACTGAACATACTATATTACATTACATGCTCCAGCTCTGGGAATTTTAGTTAAATGTTTCTGCAGCCACAGTAGAGAAATCACAAATACTGTTTTCACCTAAGCCCTATTTACATAGCAATTACTATCACTGAGGTTCTTTGCTTTAAATTTCTTGGTAGGGAAGTAGAATTAAAAAAAGAATAGATATTCTGAATTTTGAGGAAATTGCCATCACCAGCTTGTATCATGTAGATCAAATATGAAGCCTAAATTACTTGACAACGTTTTAAGTCTGATTAAAACTAAGAAAATATAACTTTGGAGTCTGTGACGCATTAATGTCACTCATTGTTTTACCGAAACATGGGAGAAATTTAACAACAAAATAAATCTACTTGGGAACTTTCTTTATACTTCATCTCTGCCTAATGGGCCTTATTTTTGTGTGTACAGTGGTGCATATGCTCTGTTAAGGACTGAATACATAATGATTAAAATGGTCAAACACAGGGTAAAGCTGGATAAAATAAATATGTTCCTGCTGGTCATGCACCAGATTACTCACAGCTCTCCTAGTCACATTACCTTCTGAAAAGCTCTCTTTTCCTACCACAGAAACGCTTTAAGCTGTATTTGTGTGGAAAAAGCATATAATTCTGGTGCCTCTTAGGTTTCTTATAATGTGTATTTGCTAGGCGCATTCAAAGAGATGTATCACAAATCCTAGTGACAATTTGCAGTTAGAATTTCAGATCATTCTCAGCTATTTAGTAGTTAGTGTAACAATTAATGCCTCTCTAACCTCCCTATATCCACAAAAATGAATCTGCGGGAGTTTGGTGTAAGGGGAAGAGCTGTCATCTCCAGTTCCCACACCTCATGGACCTTCTCCTCAGTATTTGGCTTCCATGGAGTTGAAAGAGGTAGTTCTGGGTTCTGCCAGATTCTCCTCCTCCCTCTTCAGGAGGACCAGAGTTTGCAGCAAAGTATAGTACAGTGCTCCCATCTCTGCAGGATGGGGCATCCAGCAATCAGGGAAATCCCTGGGACGTATGTCTCAGCAGTGAGCTGGCAAGAAACTGGACAGCAAGTCAGAGGCAAGTGGCTTTCTGAAGATCCCCTGAGAACTGTGTGTTTTTGGGGTGGAGCCCTCATCTCTTCCAAATTCCACCTTCCCCCAGTAGAGGTATTCCATGGAAACATCTCAAGTGAAGAGTGCTGGAGTTTCTACTCCCTAGGTGGGTTAATCTCACACAGGGAAAACTGGGGCTCAGTATTAATTTGTTGAGAGTTTGTCAAAAAAAAGAGAAAGTCCCTGTATTCACAAAGTATCCACAAAGGCTAAGAGCTGCAAAATCCTCCTCTACCAGGTTGCTGAAGATTAAATCTGAAGTTAGGCTTTTTCAAGAAAATTAACAGTCAAATAAAAAGCAGATCTGAACTAAAAAGAGCTCAGAGTCTTCTCAGTCTCCATCTACTCCTTTCATGTGATGACGCTAGTCTATATTATGGGGCTTGGAAGGAAAATAAATGTATGATCTTTGCCACGCAAAGAACTTGACTTCACTAGGATAAACATCAACCAGCTAACACATGTGAAAACTAGGAACTGCCTCATCCACTCTAGGATTTTACCATGTGACAGTTACCATGTGTTAGCTAACATGGCTAAAAAAATCCCTTATTTTCCCCATGTAGATGCACCAAAAGTGACAAGGGCTATCATGCAGCCCTGAGTCTCCTGCTGCAAAAACACCCCACTACTTATTAGTACTCACTTCCCTTCTGGAGAAAAGAGGCAACACCCCAGTACTTCATCTTGAACTTGGCAGGATCCTCAGTGTCAGTGAAGGAGCCAACCATTTGAGCACAAACATCCCAGTTACTACAAATAGAGTGAGATAAAAAGACACTGAGTTCAAACTGGGCAGCCTGGACTTGGGGTCAGATAGTGATGAACACATGGGTACAAGGAAGGGTTAGAGCAGTGGAGAGCCCAGCAGAAAGTCAGGGCCCTGGGGAACTGGAGTGGGAAGAGAAGGAAGGGTGCCAGGCAACTTACTTGAACAGCTGGACTCTGCCCTTGGCGAAGGCACACATTTGTCCATTCTCATCTATGGTGAACCGGGCTACCACATTGTCCTGCAGGAACAGTCCCTCAGGGTCTTTTTTGGCCATGGCATACCAGGTGCCATTATACTGCAGGGAGAGGAGAGAGGCTCTGGTTAGGCCTGGGAAGCATGGAAGTCCCAAGTGCAGGGAAGACCATAAAAGCTGGATCTATCTGGACCTTGCAGAACTCTGCTGATCTTTGGCCCCAAGCCTCCAAATCATACCATCAAATTAGAGAATAAATCCAGCTGCTCCCAAGTCACCAAAAACAATTTGGGTACAATGCACCAAGGAGCACAAGCATCACAAAGGTTCAGATTCAGCAGCTGGATCTAGCCAGGTTTTGACCCCAATCCTCTAAGTTCTAATGTTTAAAAAGAGAACAAGGATAGCTTCTCCTGCTGTACAAACCAATTCTATACCTTGCTAGGCTAATACAAATAACTGGAGTAATAACAATGTAACTTGGCACACAGGGGGGCCGAAGTTTTGCAGTGAAACTAGAGCAGCTGAACTTCTCTCTTCTGATAGAGTTTTTGAGTTTGGAATTTTTCAAATAGCTGGATCCAGCAAGCTCAAGTCTCTGGATGGGGGCGGGAGGGGGTTTATGGTGCTGCTGTTCCCATTTGTAGCAAGGGCTAGATCTTTTGCTGCATGATGAGCTGCTGCTTTTCCCCTCTGTTTAGAGCACACCCTTGTTCTTGGTTTAGGCATTTGGGGCTCTGGGCCACAAGCTGCCTGTGCCCAGGTGCCGGATCTAGGTTTTGTGGTGCTCTGCACTGGAGGCCAGGTGTTTGGCACAGGAGGAGTGGGCAGACTGGGTCTCTATTTTGATAGTACATTTTGGGCCTTAGGACAAAATTTGGCAAGATCCAAGGAGAGCCAGCCCCAGAGAGCGGGGAGGGGAGCAGACACCTACACGAGCCTTGTTGAAGTTCTCTTGGACTCTGATGTTGCTCACTCTGCAGTCCCGCTCCGCTCGGCATCCACAGCCCAGCAGGCCCAGGACCACCAGCAGCAGCCAGGCCAGGAATCTCCCCGCCTGAGCCATCCTACTCCTATGCAACAGCAAACAGAGACAGACCAAATCATCAGCCGGGGGGGCCCCAAGGCACCTGGAAAGGAGGGGTCCCCAACATACCCAGTGTCCCCAAGATGCTCAGAGGGCCCCCCAAAGCAGCAGTGGGGTCCCCCCCAATGACAGTAGAGTACCCCCACCACATAGGGTGGGTGGTCCCCTAGGCACCCAGAAATGGGGCCCCAAAGCATCTAGAGGGGCCCCCCAGTGCAGATGGTGGGGCGTCCCCACTGCCTCTCTGCAGGAGGGCTGCAGCATTTCCAGCCACATCCCTGAGCGATCCGAATCATCACACACACACGCGGCGGACGAGAGGCTCCCCCAGCTGGAAACGTGTCTCTTACAGAGCAGCGCCGATCCCCGCAGTCAGCCGGTCTCTAGCCCGAGCGCTCGCACAGGGGAGAGGAGGCGGCCGGAGGGCGCGGGGCTGGGAGCGCTTTATACAGCTCCGGGGTGGGGGTGGGGATCGGCTCTTTCGTAACTTCGCGGGGCGAAAGACTAACAAGGGGAGTGGGGAAACCTGGTCGATTCCAGCTAGGCAAGGGGCCCCTGCGCAGCAGGCTCTTGCGTAACAGCAGCAGAGCAGGCCGGGGTAACCCAGGCGATCTTTAACCCCAGCCCCGGGGAGAAAAGCGTTTACGGTATCACACAACCCAAAAGGCAAGACCCCAAATCAGGGAGGGAGAACGTGAGAGAAGCGGGAGATGCCAACTGTCCCGGTTTTATATTATTCTTCTTCTTGAACTACAATATCATTTCCCACTCCGTCGCTCCAAAGTCCTGCTTCTCCAACGTGCCCAGCGGAGTTACAGCTTGTGGCCTCCTTTGTCTCCCCCAGATGTCCTGTTTCTACCCTTCCAATGCTGGCAGCATCGGGGCACGTGTGTGAACCCTTCAGCCAGATGGGAACTGTTTATTCCAGAGCCCCAGGCCGGTTGTTGCTGGTGCCTGAGAACCCAAGCCCAGCTTCCAGATAGCAGGAGCTGTCCCGAGCTACAGCCTGGAAGCCTTTCGTAGCCTGCTCCAGAGAGCAGCAGATGTGTCCAGCTGCAGCCTGGGGACATTTTTTGGGTCCTGCCTTCGGAGGAGGCAAAAAAGCACCGCTCACTTCAGTCCTAACACAAGCCCGGTGGGGATGCACATGACTGTGAATGTGCTAACGTTTGCACCCACCACTCGGGTCCCTTTCTATGTAAATGATGAGGCAAAGTTCCTTCAATTTCTTTCTTGGCAAACTGTTTTTTGTTATATAAAAGATTATTTTTCTCCTATCCAGGCAAGTGGTGGTGCCTCTTGGTCAATATTTGTTCTGTAGTTTCAACATCTTTCGAAGCATCAGAGAAACCCTGTTAACCATTTTCCAGCTATGTGACTCAGAGCAGGGTAGGAAAAATCATTCGCAACAGCACCAGGTCACATACTCCCTTCACTTCCGTGTTTTTAAAGAGTAAGGGGCTAAGGGTGTTAATTGAAGCCAGTGCCAAATGTTCATTCATTTCAGAATTTTTTTAAAAAACCACTCATTCAAATTCAGAGCTGCTCAACAAGATGGGGGGAAAGTGCTTTGTAAAAGCACATGCTGGACAGAAATAGGGCACCTAGTCCAATAAACATGTCCTTCCCCTAAAGTTTATCGCAACCCTTCAGTTTCCTCTGTCTCGTCATAAAAATATTAAGCTGTGTGATTTAATTTTTTTTTACTATATATCTTCCTTGCCAAGTTCTTCCATATAGTAACTACTAATTTAGTGGAATAGTTTACCTGAATTCTTTGTTTATGCCCCATTTCCTGATTCTCAGGCTGAGATATTTGTTGTTTGGACCCTTTGCACTAAGAGCAATTTATTTTGGTTCTCTTTCTCAGATCTCATCCTAGGTCAGTTCCAAGTTGTCTCTATTGAGAATAAGTTCCAACTCTTGAAGCCATTCCTCATAACAAATATTCTTACAAAGCTATAATACATAAACTTGTTTGTAGTAAGACCACTATAAAATAGTGCATGTAACACATACAAAGGTGCTGTATATTGTAATGTCGATGAGCAAAAGTTTTCAATTTAGAATGAGATTTTTAGTGATGCCTAAGAACTGTGTACCCATTTAAATTAATGAGAACTGGGGATCCATATCCCCTGGACAGCTTTTAAAACCTCTCCCTTAATTCCTGTTAATACTGGTGGGAGACAGTTATGCACTGCATATAGCTCTAAGCGAGACAGATACACATAGCAGTCTCAGATACATGGGTGCACAACTCCATATAACTGATCTGCTTTGTCCATCTTCTCACAAGATCAATAGTAACATGAAGAGGGTTGTAACTTACTTTATTACCCTTGATAGCCCTATGCTGTTTATTTAATGTCAGATAAAACATGTCTATAATTTCTCTCTGCCACTTTGGTAAGCACTGTTACCAGCCTTTCTCTTGATTCTGATCTCTGTAAAATCTGTATCCTTATTTTTAATCCCAAATCAACTTTCAGGATCAGGTCTGTACCTTTAATATTACACTAATATAATTCTCCTTTGCAAACATTATGACTGGAATTTTCAAAAGAGTCTAAGGGAGTTGGGCACTCAAACCCCATTAAAATTCAATGAGATTTAGGTACCTAACTTCCTCAGGTTCCCTTGGAAATCCTGTCCTTAGAGTTTATTACATGTTTATTACATGGTTGGGACAGTGGCATTTTTACAGGCAACAAGCCCAATCCAGCTTTTGCTGAGGCTGCCAGAGTATCATCAGGAGCCACTTTCCCGACCACACCAACAGGCAGGATTCAATATTGCAAAGGGAACCCTCTGCAAGTTAATGTTAACTCAGTTAATGATAATTTACCCTAGGTTGACCTGCAAGTTTGATGGGAGGATGGCTACCATCTTTCAGCACTATTCCATCCAGATCCATATATCCAGAGTGTAGCACCTGCAGGTTTTATGTCCCTCCACTCATGGAAGTGGAGGGGAGCATTTCTATTAATATCAATGAGAATCATGAACACAGACCATGTGAATGGAAGTGAATGGCTTATAGATTCCTGGAAAAGCTTAGGAGGAAGAAAAAACATTCTTAAAGCTCCAATATGATGTAAACAAAAGAGCTATTTATAAAACTCAGCATACATTTACAAAATTTATCGCAGATCAATATGAGTCAGTAGTCAAACTTGTGCTGTTTCACGAGCTGATTCTTAAATTTTGACAGCATATTGTGAAAAGTATGGACATTTTGAAACCAGTATGTATTTCTTTCAGATGCATTTTACCGATGAAAAAAAGTATTCTAACTTTAAGGTTAGTAAAGAGGGAAAAAAAGAGAATTTCTGTCACTGATTTTCCATTACAATGCTTTTCCCATGAATAGCCTGTAAAAGTAATTAATATTTTCCACAATGATAGTATCTATATTTTCCATAATGACAGTGACAGTCATTTCTAACACTGCAACATTTAAGTTTAAATACTGAAAGGACTAGAATTTTATTTATGGCAATATAGTAAGATTTTAGTTCTTAGGAGAAAAGTTGGCGCAAAGTATTGGCAATAGGATATAGAGCATTTAGTTTAAGTCTTGTCCAGCTTGATACAGATAGAAAGACTTTTTGTTCCCATCTTCTGGTTCTTTGTTGGCTTGTTATTATTTATTTCTAGGGCCTCATTCACAAGTAGCAGTGTGCAGGGCACTATCTTCTGAGATCAGGTCATTTCTAACAAGATACAACAAATGGCATGAAATGAACCAGTGATCTCAGTGTATTTTGTAGGACACAAACATCCACATCACTGTCACAATTGCCCCACTCCCTCCAGGTGACAGCAGTTAAAGCATAGAGCCAAGGATACAATGGGCTGGAAAATGTTAGCACTTGTATTATTCCTGCCTGTGTATTTGTTTTGTAGTTAAAGGACTTACAGCTTCCAAAAATGACAACCTGACTTTTTGCTTGAGCACTAATTTCACCTCAGAGTCTTCAAAAAGAGTAATTAAAATAATTTGTTTTTTAAAATGTTAACTGCATTTTCAGCAGCAAAGTGTGATTATAAAGATTGTGATTCTGTGCTCACAAATTTCTCTTCTAGATTCCTTGAGAGAAAAAGGGTTTGTGTCTGGTTGTAAGTCTGCTTTTAATGGGCTCTCCCATCTCCTTCCTAGATTTTCTTCTGAGCAGACAGGAAGCAAACTTGAGATAATTCATTTACAATAATATTTTTTCCTTCTGAACATTAAACACATCGCCCAAATCCATCTGTCATGGTTTATTCGTCATGCTATGACAGTTAATTTTCCCTTAGTATATGGAATACAGTGCTATTTATATTGATGACAATGGAATTTTCAGGGTGGGATAAATAAAATATGCCCATATTGTCAATTAAGTGGAAAGAGAGGCTTTCATATGCTTTTGTTTTTATTTCTTTGTCTTCTACTTCAGCATTTTGCTTCCTGGGCAAGTCCTTAGAACCTGTCTAGAAACCCCCAGGATCTCTCCAGTTCCCATCTACTCCCTACACACTCAAAAATTCCAATCTCACACGCATTGTTCATGCAGCAAATGAGATAGAGAGATGCGTCTAGTGCCAGACAATGTCTCTTCTGAGTTGATCAGATGCACTCTCTCCCACCACAGACTCAGTATGTTGCTTGTGCAGTACAACCAGACCCTGCCACTCTGGAGCAAGGGACCAAACTCAAGACTCAGACTTGGATGCTCTATGTGCAGAAATATTATGCTTGTGCTAAGCCATGAGACTGGCCTTTTCACAGTCAGTATTAATTTTCCCCTGGTCTATGTTTATATAAGGATCCACAGCTGCATTAAGTGAAGATAAAATATGAAAAGAGCTATGTGCTTTTTTTTCTAAGAGGTCAGATGCAGATGAATTTAAAACAGAGTTTAAATTACATTTAAAACAAAGTTACATAACTGTATGGGAGTTCTCCAAGGAATAGGGTGTCCAGATAGCAAATGTGAAAAATCGGGACAGGTTTGGGGTAATAGGAGCCGATGTAAGAAAAAGACCCCAAAATTGGGACTGTCCCTATAAAATCGGGACATCTGGTCACCCTATCAAGGAACAAAGCCAGAGCTGCAGGCACTCTTTTTTCAGAGACCACTAGCTCATCCTAGTCCTAAGGGACACCGTCCTGCAGAAGAGACGTAAATGCAGATTCTGCAGACCAAAGATCTTCACAGAGTGGGACTTTAATCCCAGAGTCCTGGCCAAATACCAACTTGGGGAACTCCATTCCAATTACCTACCGTTTCCCTGCAGCTTCACAGACAGGGTAGTCCTTTCCTCATGGTACCTAAATTGTTCTGTAGCATTAGTCCACGCTTGGTATTAAACAGCAAATACATTTAATCCCAGAAGTGGCTGTGTTTCAGTGGAGGTGTGGG